GGATTTCGCCTGCCGATTGGCTTCTTGCTGCTGCTTCTCACTGTGAGTAGTCAAAGTCTGCAAGTCTGCTTGGCGGCCAACCAATATTGATCCAACCTCTTGGCCAACTTTGTCCAGCCTCAATCTCGAGCACCGTTTGTTGGTAGTTCGCTTTCTGGATCATGTCTGCGTACCTGTTGGCAGGCAAGTCATACATCAAAAAATGGTACATGTTTCAAGTCAATTGAAAGTAGTTGTTGAGGCACTGCTCTTGCGATTTCAGCTTTTCATCAGCGACCTGGCTGGCTTTTGAAAAAATACTCCAACTAGTAGTTGAACATCACAGATGCGCAGCAGTGGCTGGCGATGCCTGCTTTTCATACTTCCTCACAGCACTGCGAAAAATACCCACGCGGTCCAAGTCGATGGGAGGAACTGACTCCTGGAAAATGGCCAAGAACTCACAGTTACCATGCAAAGTATTCGCTCCTGCACCACGATCTCACAGTCACCATGTTTCAGGTGGAACCTTGGGCGGCCAAAGGCTGCCATGAAACCTTTTGCATGAATCTTTCAACACATCAACCTCTGAGTGTAAAACGACTTGTCTATCTTTGGAAGTTCTTCTTCGGTGAAAGCGCTTGGAAACCTGTCCAAAAAGATCTTCCTGCATCCCACATAGGCAGCACAAACCTTTGCCAATGTTTCCTGCAACGAGGTCAGGCTGAATATACATATCCACTGAATGAAATGTTACGAAACAACAGCGACAAACATCGCTATTACGATGGTGTTTGTCTCCAGTTGCTTTTGTTTTCCCAAAATGCCCCCCGCAACAAGCAATCACCAAGCTTCCACTTGGCTGCCACCCCATGGCTTCCGCAGCTTTGGGCGAAGGGCCAACCAGTCAGAGGTCAAACGTGAGCAAAGCATCTTCAACGACTCAGGTGTGTTCACCAACACCTCGCTCCAAGCAGACTGCGACTGCGATGCCAGGACCTCGTTCCTGTTGAACCATTTCTGCGACAGGGCTTCGTGCGTCAGAAACTTGATCATAGTGTGAGATCTCAGCGCCGAACATTAAGGAATGCAGGGGCTCTCAGTGCCATTCATTTCAAACAGGTTCTAAACATATATTGTTTCTTGAATTGAGGCTGGCACTTCACAGCCTCTGTTAGTGAGTGTACTGTGTCATCATCAATGCAATGGAGAAGGTAGTAAGCCGAAGTGGCTTCCCTCGGGCCAACTTGCATGGCTGCCATCACCTTGTTCGAAGAGTTCCACTCCTGCGCATGAAAAAAAAACCAGCTGACACAGCGGCTGACTCAACCGAGCCTCGATGCTGACATGACCGCCAAGTTTGCCCATCAAACGCATTTGATGGAGCAAGTTAAACGCGTTCGGCTTGCGTCTCACACTTGTTCTTGCAAGTGTGATGCCTCCAAAATCAACAAAATCAACACACTGGCATTGATGGTGTGCGAACAACTCATTCCACACCTCGGTTTTCATGCACCAAGCTTGTCGAAGCAGAATTGCCTGGAACTGCGGTCACATTGGCATACAGGGTTCGTAAAGTCCTGGCCCAAGACCGGCATGAAATCTGAATCAAAAAACAACATTGAAGGTCCTTTGTAGAAATTCCGGCCAAGCCTTCAAAACTCCAAGAACAAACAATGGAAGAGAGAACCCCAAAGATAGCAGATAAAACGACCTGCCTGCTTGAACTCTGGGCACTGCCACATGCACACCAAAACGGTCAGCGCTGCCACAGATCTGCTCCAACCCTTTACGTACATCAGGTTCATCGGTGCAAGACCCTTTTTTGTCTTTGTAACAAATATCAGCGTTGCAGATGGTGTGTGGAGGGCAAATGTTGGCATCAGGCCGGCACGCAGAGATGACAAGCTTCTCTGTTCCCGGAGTATCTGGGTTGGTCAAAAACCTTGGCAATGGTGCCAACATATTCAAACTTTCTGACAGACATAGCTGAGGTACTGACCCTCGAGCAACAATCATCTCACACAGCAACAAGTGGGCGTCCTAAATTTTGGCTTTCTCCCTTGCCACACAGTCACGCAGACTAGAAAAAATTGTTTGAGGTTGAGACCGGTTCTACCAGGCCCTTTAGGCCTAGGTTGGGAGAGTACACCAAGTGGGTAGGTCGCAAATGGACACCCTGCACCGTATAGAGATCACCTTCACGGCAGTACTCCCTGGCAAAATCAAAAAACCTTTTCCTTGCAATCAACACACTGAAACACCTGAAGCAACAGCTTGAAAAGTCCAGCGCCAAGGTGGCGCAACTTAAGTTAGGCCAGCAAGGCTTGTCATCTTCTGGAGGCAAGTCCATGTGTGCCCAAATCAAGAACTCGATCAGCTTTTCCTGCTTCAGCTGAGCTGAATGTATGGAAAATGTTTATTGAATGGAAAAAACACTAAGTCATCGTTCGACAACACATCTTTCTCCCGTTCTGCGAAGATGGTCTGGAAGAACTTGTCTACGGAACCGAACTCTTCAAGCTTTCCATTCCTGAAATGTTCTCAACAAACCCATATCTGTCCAAGAACAAAGGAAAACTTTAAGCAAACATCTCTTTCAATCTGGTGTCCACCAGTTCCGAAAGATGGCAGTGGGGCCATCTCCATCTGCAGTCGACTCTGAAGCACTGGCGTCACCACCGGCGATTGCCTGGTAGGACCTTTAGGTTTCTTCTTCTGTGAGCCCCCTTGGGCTCCGCTGTTCCGCTTGCCCGCCATCGGGCTAAACCAGAACTCCAAAAAAAACCTTGAGCCACAGGGATGCATACCAAGATGCTAACCAAAAGAAAGGAAGAATGCCTACCGGCTTTACAGCAAACCCCGGCAATAGCAAAGAGGTTTTGCTAGAGAGCGTTGGCTAGCGTGGAAAAGCTCACTCGGGCAGCCTGGCAAAACTTGAGAACGCAACTGACTGAGGAAGGCAACAGGTGATGAAAGGCAGTGAGCCTACTGCCTGTTTCTTCAGAGCGAAGGTAGCCATCGAATAGTGTCCTCACCCCACTGTGCAGGCAAAGCTTCGCCGAGGACTTGCGCAAGCCAACAAGCACTCTCAAAAAATATGCCAAGCACAAAGTTTTAAAGGAGCCTTTGCGTCAACGGTCAGAACGTGGCCGAACTTTTGTGTCAACGGTCAGCGCAACCCGAACTGTTTGTGCCAACGGCCAACACACACACCGACCTTTTGTGTCAACGGACAAACAACTGACCCATGCTTTGTGTCAACGGTGGTATACAACAAACACTGTTCGTGTCGACAACGGGCGGCCCTTGACACAAACGAGGTCGCAGTTCTACATTGAGATTTGCTGACACCTTTTGATGTGCACGGCGGGCTTTGCCCTTAAGTGTCCATGCCGCACCCAAATTTTCTGCAGATTGTGGTGCTCGAAAGCTGCCACCGGCGCAGAGTTGCTTTGCACATACAAAAACACTTCAACTTGGAACAACTTTGTGTTTTCAACCACTGGCCGCTGACTCAAACAGCTGGGTTCTGAAAGGGTTTTCAAAAATATACGCTCAATATGTTTTTTTTCTGGTTTCAGTCGTCTCAAAAGCAAGACCTTTGTGCAGCCAGCGGCTGGCCAGCGGCAGAAAGGTTCACATCTTGGTTGGCAGTCTTTTCGTGCAGAATGCCTCTTCTTCGAAGGAAGCATTTGTGCCACCACTTCAACCAATCGGCTATGACTCTAATAATATCGTTTCTGAGGCTGCTCCGCTGAAAGTTTATCTTTTCTGCTAAAAAAACACATCCTGCTAAAAAAACGTCAAGCTACTAACTGGCAAGCTACTAACTGCACAAAGCAACATTAGACCTCGTGCGTAGCAGCTCGAAAGGCATTGGAAACGATGGAGACTGCCTTTTGAAAAGGCATTCCCTCTGCCCAAAGCTCAGCGGCAGCTTGGTAGATGTAGTACTGGCTTCTTCGCGCTTTGTATTTGTCGAGGTGTGTCTTGGACACTGGCTCGAAAACGATTTGCATATCGTTCATATCCTAGGCTTCCATCGTCAAGCCCCTTCAAAAACTGATTTATTAAAAAACGAGCAATCATCGAAAAAACATGCACGGCCCCAGCGCAGGAATGCAAGGATAAACAGCACACACAGGGACCGGCCAACAATGTGGCCAAGTACGCCAGAGGTTCCACTACTGGCCCACCTTTTTTTTTACGAGCAGGTTCAGAGATAAACGCTCCCAGCATGTTTGCAGAACGCAAAGCGCTGTAGAGAATACTCTACACAGGACCCCGGGCACCGTCTGCAGTGACCCCTTCTGAACTGTGCGCTGCGGGCAGCGTCAGCTTCACAATGAATGCTCCAGTTTTAGAGCGCTGAACATGCAAAGGTTGATCCTGAGAGTTTGCGTAAGTCGCCAAGTCGCTTTTACCGGCTAGCGGCAGCAAAAGCAAGCGGCTTCTGGAGGAAGGGGAAGGTTCAGGCAACAAGGAATAGGAGGGAGGATAACACACAATGGCTGGGGCCGTGTGAATCAAAGCTTGCGAAACATATCCGATGACAAATTGTTTTCGTTCGAGAATCTGGCTCCAACCTGACAGCCTGCTGGCCTCTCCCAGCCAATCCAAGACCCACTGCAGGGCCAACAGTAGGTAGAATCCTGAAAAAATGTATAATTGATACAGCTGAAGGAACTTCAACACATGTCAACACCAGTCCTTCCGATGTCCAAAGGCTCGCCACGATCTACGGTTCCATGAACCAGCGACTCCAAGTGGTCCGCACATTTGTCCATGTTAAACGGCGGCTGCCCTTGGCCCAATTCAGGGTTGTTTCCAAGAAAGCCTTCACAACTGAACACTGAGTCTGCAGCGCATGATTCCTGCAAACTTCATCCAATTCTCGTGGACTTTGGGTTCTTTTTCTCGGTCTGCAACCCGAACTGGCACAGAAAAACTGAGCGACTCAACTAACACTGTGACGGCAAGACATGCCAGAAGAACGTGGAGGTAAGGAAATACAGCAGCGGGCGTCCTGTGTATGAAGGATCTGCCATGTACTGGCGTGTCCTGCAAGAAGTTGCGATAGAGAATGATATAGTGAGGAAAATTGTGATAGGAAAATAGCGATGGTTTCTCTGGCTAATTTCCTGAGGACTACATCTGCATCATCTTCAAAATCACCCCTGATGCGTTTCTTCCAGAAACGGCTGTCAACATCACTCCGCCGGAGTCCTGCGAACTGTGAACAACTTTGCTTTTCAATCAGAAAATGGAGAAAGTCCAGCCTGTATCGCTGAATCTCTGCAAAACAAAGGTGTGGGGGGCAGCTGGCCCCCCGATCCCTTTCAGGTGGTTGCCCAAGCACTTGATCTGGAGAAAGGGTTTCCTGACCCCGTTCAGCCACAGAAAAAGTTTCCTGCACTACTTCGCTTACTTGGTTAATGTCTGGTCTGCAAAACAAGCGTGGCGCCTGACATTAGATATGATTCAGTCAGAAGCTAGTCCAAAGTCGAGCAGCCAGTCTCTCACACTATTGAGGACTTGCGTGCACTTGATCGAGGAATCATCTGGGCGCGTCGTTGGAAGCTGCAAGTATCCATCGATTGCATCGCGAAATTCTTGAGGCGTGTGCAACTCGTTCCTAGCTTCCAGGACTGCGTTGAGCTGTGCGAAGAAGCCATCAACGTCTTCGTGTGAGTGTCCTGACCTCAAGGATCTAACCTCTGCAGAAAAAAGTCTCCTGTTGGCGATGACGTACGCTAGACCCCGTAGGGTCGTATTGTTCTTTACCTCCTTAGAGGCGTTGTCGCATTGGATTGCCAAGCTTATGAAGCGAAGGTCGTGGAACTCTCCGATCTTGTGCGTCATACCAAACAAGAGGTCCATGCACCAACTGGAATCTTTTGGTACCATCGGGTCACTCAAAAAGACTCCTGTTGCATGCCCGTGGCACAGTAATGCATGGACATCAAGGGCTGGCCGAGCAAATGTTTGGAACTCCTTTGCTCCCATGCATAAGGAGCGGGGTAGTCGGAATTTACTCTTGTCCATACCGTCCAGAATCACGCATATGAAGCGTGATCCGGACTGCATCAGGTTGATGCGTGACAGTGACCGGGCCTCCCAGTAGGTGCACCTGTCCCGAATATTGGGCAGCAATGTGCTGCCCATACATCTCTGTTTGTCGTTGATGTGCTACACGATCACCAGTCAGTTGCTTCAGTATCAGCCTGTGCTTTATGCACACTGAACAGGCTGCATGTCTGGATTTCTCTCTGATGCTCAGCCTTGAGCGAAAGCTTTCTGACCAAACCTGAGGAATTGCCAAAACCACAAGGCGTTGCTAGTGAACCTACCACGCAATAAACAAAACCTGAAAACTAGCGGCGCATAAACACTTTGTGACTAATGATCATGCCCAAGAACGGCCAAGAATAGCTTCAAGCTGATGCGCCGTTCAGGGTACCTTGTTCTGAGCATTGAAAGGTAATCGCTGAAGCTGCCCGGTGGCAAAACTCGCATTGATTCCAAGTTCTCCTCCACCTGGCCTGAAGGAGGCGTAGGGAATTGCTTTGGTCGCTTTGGACGTTTGCCAGGACGGCGACGAAATGCTTGAAGTTTGGGGCATCTTAAACGACCCTTCACTTCAGGCATCGGTTCTGGTCGACAAGGTCTGGTGCAGTTCAGCCAGGAACTCCAAGCACAGTTGTCGGTTCAGCGCTTTGTCACCATCTGGGTGTGCATGCTTCCGGGGTAGCGAGCGTCCATCCATTGGAGCTTCAGTCTTGTGTTTCGCGCATCCCAACAACCGTCTCCAACGCGATGAGCCCAGGCCCAACAAGCTTCTCAGCGCCTGCCTGCACACCTGATGCCCAAAAAACGTCAATCTCACCCTGCCCGTCCCTGACTCATCATTTACTCTTTGCAAGCACTCTCGGAGCAAACCAATCACCTGCAGCGCAGAAGGAATTCCACACGTTCCAAAATTAAAGACACCGATTCATCGGTCAGAAAAGGAAAGCAACACGACTTTTGAAGCCATACCTTGTTGTCAGCATCCAGCTTATGAAGACTGCTCCATGAAAACCGCAAAGCCACTAGGTCATGAAAGGCTCTACTATTTGCCTTGAACGGGGCAAAGCAACTTCGTGTACGCCTTGATCGCGCTCGCTGCTTCTGGCAATCACAGGAAATCTGCACCACCTTCAGCAAACGCCGCTCAATCATAGATTTGGTCACGGCAGCTGGCTTCTGCCTCTTGGGCTTTGGATTGGAAGGGGCTGGGACTGAAGGGGCTGCAACATCATCATCACTCAATTCATTCACAGCAGGCAGTAGCTGGAAGTTTGCAGCCATCCCGCCACCGCCCCATGCCCCACTGATTGAACAAAGAACGCGACACACAGTCTGTCACAATCAATGCAAAAGGATCACGTTCTGAGCGGGCCCTTGTTTCATGTAAAGGCCTGGTGAAAAATCAAAAGCGATTCCTGAACGCCAGCTTCCCAAATTGCAAGGCAAAGGAAAAGGCAACAAGCAAAAAGGAGCCTGAGCTCTCGCGAGGTTTTCACCTGAGAAGTAAACACGAAGCGGTCTGACTGGATCAGCCTTACAAAACACAATGGATCAGCAAAACAATGGAAGGTGTTCTCTCAGAAGCCAGCTTGGCCCACACATTCATGGGC